ACACATCACAAGAAACATAAGCACTAACGGCAAACACGCCTTCCGAGACCAGAAGCCCCACCAAAAACGCGAATAATATCAAACAAATATCTGAAAGAAAAAAATCTGTGCAAAATTTTAAAAAAGCATCGTAAATTCCTAAACAGGCACAGGAACCTTATATTTTTTCCACGAGTAATAAAAATAATAAAAAAAGAAAATGAGAAAATTCCATACGTCACACATCTTCACTTCTTCCTCATCGCCGAGGTGAAGTACTGCAATGGTAGAGCAGAAAGAATTCTAGAGAGCAATGATTTACCCTTCCCCCAGGCAAACATACCTTGGATCTGCTTGTCCTGCACACAAAGGTAGCCGATAAGGAGGAGACATTCGTGGAGTGCCGCCCGCAGGTAGTACGGTGGGCGAGCCGGCGTCATTGTTAACCCTGCTGTAGAACTATTGGAGGGCTGCGAAGCCGGAAGTGGTGGTATTTGCGCCAAAGTCACACCAAACTTTAATGCACTTTCAAAGGACCCACGCACACCTTCGTCAACGGTATTCTCCCCTGGAATGGTTTCAAGCAGATCGGCGTGAGTCTGAACATATGTAAAGAATCCACTAAGCACGTGAAAAATCTCCGTTAGTGTAATCACATTTGGTGTTTTTTCCGGCACAACCTTCGGATCTACGTGAATATTTGATCCTCCCTTGTCAATAGAAGCGTCGTGTAGCAACTCCTGTAAAATATCCAGTCTCCAACGTGCAAGGGAGTTCAAGACTCGGAAAACAATAAATATGATGGTGATGCGCCGTGCACTAAGTAACGTACCCGTCGCGCTCAAAGGGCATCCATCGGGGGTCAATATATTCTCAAGAAGAGTAAAGAATGCACATGCCACTTGTCGAAACCATACAGTCGGAAAATCGCCCTTCTTTTTACTCAAAATGGAAACTTGAGAATGTATAAGCCGTGTCGCACTGTAGACAACCTTTAAATCTTCCTCTTCTGTAAATGCCCGTGTGACTGCGACACAGTACCTATCGATTCCTGCCGCATCCAGATCGGCCAACAACTGGTCCCTCACCGTAATAAGTTTGACATTCGTCTGAGCATCTATGGCAATACGTTCAAAACAAAGTTGTAATATTTCAAGTGAGGCTGCAAGTGGAATAGAGTGACTGTGACGCTTTAGGCCTTTTATCTCATCACGGATGCAGAGTAAAAGCGGTGCAAGATTGCCTGATCGAATAAACATCAGTACATGTTTTTTCCCCTCATTAGCATCAGTAAGAAAACGTATTAGCGCATTATGGGCCAAACGGAAAGTCACCATATCACTCGTCCGGCGAGAATCCATCAGAACGCGGGCAAAACTCTCATAACTGTTAAAATATCGTACATATTCATGATCTACATCCGCGAACTCCGTCATGCCCAGCAGGTCATGAAGCGATTGACGACA